CACGAACTATATAGATTTAATTTCTGCATACACAAAAAATAAAAAAAAATTCTGCCACTTCGATCTTTATAATGAAACGACAGGACAGGCCCACTTATGTATATTTAGTTTTATAGGATTTGGACTATTATTATTGGACTAAAATGTGACTATGTATTATTAAGGTATTATGCAATATTAAATTAAAGAGTCTATTTGAACATAGGATGCCAGTTCGTAAGTGTTCTATTGAGAACTGTCGCTCATGTTCTACAAGAAAGGAAGATATTGGTGTAACCTATCACAAGTATCCAAAAGATGTCGCATTACGTGACATATGGATATCCGTTACACGGCAAAAACACTTTAATGTAGCTACAACATCTTATGTATGTTCACGACATTTTTGCAAAAATGATTTTCAAGTTTACAAGGACTCTAAATATGTTTTAAAGTCAGGTACCTATAGATATTTGTCAGTAGTAGTTTGTTTCTACTTGAAATATTATTTGCCACATAGTTATGCATTTTTGTGCAATTCATTTCACAGTGCAAATGAATGGCTGGAAATTAGTTTATTGTTTCTTTTCTTTTCTTTTGGTGCTATCATCTCACAGCTACACTATGACAAATTAGTACTTTTGTAGTTAATGCATGTTATGACACTTCGTGAACTGCACAATTTTACCTGGATTTATATTTCAGATGCAGTACCGTCAATATTTACATGGAATGTGAAAAAAAACAATATGGACTTCAATGGAGAAACTTCTGAGACAAATAAATCAGCGAAAGATACTTTGACTAGCAGGAAAGAATCTGAGCCGGAAAACTTAGATGCAATCAAAAAATTTATTGAAGACCAAGAGAAGGAGATTCAAGAGCAAAAATGTGAGCAGGAGATAAATCAAAGAATTGAGGATGAACATGAAATGGGCACAAACCAAAATAAAACTGAAGAACCATTAGCAGTAGCTGCAAGCGTTATGGATCTGATATTGAGTGAATCTGAGGCTAGACTACTGACAAAGAAAGGGGAAAAGAGCTTCGAAAAACAGTGTATGAGCTCAAATGAGAAGAGTATGTGATTTTATTTTAATAGAACATTCCATAGATATTTTCTATTTTATTATTGGCTTAATACAAATATATAAATTTAATTTCAGGCAGTATGGCATTGTCAGTGGGTTCCAAAGTTGAGGCAAAGGATTTTGGTGAGTTTTGGTATCCAGCACAAATTCTTGAAGTGGATTATGATGAAATGGAAGTATTAGTTCACTATGAAAATTGTTCAAAAAAGTAAGTTTCATATGCTGATCATATATTTGTTTTTCATGTAATAATATGATTCAGAAATTATTTTTGGCACCATGCCACATGGATTAGGTTTATTAGATAATATTAGTGTTAGATAGATTTAAGCTTGTAAATATAATATGTTCATTAAATATTTTGATTTTATGGTAAATTTTTTTATCTCCTAATTTGATATTGTTGTACTTATTTAATAAATAAATGTACCAAGTCAGGTCATAAGTTTTGTCACATAATAAAAACTTTTGAATGCTGGCCACAAAAATATTTATTGATTTTGAATTTCTAATGTTTTATGAAAATGAAAATGTGCACTATTTCGAATTTCATTTATATTTAAATATGGAGGAGAAGCTTAAAGAAGACTTTAAATTCAACTGTAGAAGACAGAAATAGAAGTGGTCGCCCTTGCAATGTTTGGACTTCAGTACTGATTAAAGCTCTGAAGGCACAAATACAAAAAAATCCCATGGGTAGAAACTGTTGGCTCTTCAGATGGGGTTAACAGAACCATGGTGAGAAGGATGTTGAATGAAATTTAACGCTTCAAGCCTAATGAAGAAAAACAGAACATTGTTTGGATGGGGTAATGGACCTGAGACAAGAGGAATGACACAGTGAAATTCTTTTTGGGATAAAAAAAAATTACCATGGAAGAGAGCTATAATAAACAAAATTATAAGGCGAGTAAGTCAACAGTGAAGGTGCAAGCAGCCATATTCCACATGTCCCGTGAGGCCATTTTGTATCTCAGTCTCATATTTCTTGTCTCTCAGTGGTATATTTTTGTGAGAAAAGCGCGAATGCAGTGGTGTATCAAAATACAGTCCTCAATTATCTTGTGAGACCTCTTTCTCGTACCAATAACAGACTGGGTATTGCAGGAGATTCTGCGTCATGATAGAGTGAAGAGCACGCAAAACTGGCCGGGTCAATCTCCAGTCCATATTTAAATCTGTATGATTATAAAATATGGCAACACTTGGAGGACGAGACTTACTCAAAGCGTCATGCTGATTTGGAATCACTCAAGGCATTCTTGATCAAAGCTGCCGTCAATATTGACCTTGTTAACTTGTATTTATAAAAACGTGGGGGTAATTTTCATTAAGCTTAACTAGAATAAGTAATCTATGTTTTAATAAGTTCCTTTTGGAATATAAACGATTACCGTAAAAACAATAATATGTCAATTATTTTACAATAAACGGTGACAGAACTTATGATCCGGCTAGGTATAGTTAATTTGAAAGTGCTAGAATTTTATAAACATTGTGCATAAAATTTTTAGGCATGATGAATGGATAAACGTAAGCAGTCCCAGGCTGAGGCCTTTAAGTAATCTTTCAAGGGTGTCGCCTAGTGCGTCAGTGGACAATGAAACAGTAAATGTGTGTGCGTCTGTGAAAGAGGAAATCAGGGACGACGAGAAGCCAACATTGAAGTTCGTCGTCGGAGAGAGATGTCTGGCGCGTTGGAGGGACAATCGGAGATTTATGGCCACCATTAACAAAGACTTGGGCAACGGTCAGTACTATCCGACGCACCAGTAGCCTGTTGGAGCGCAACCGTCGACGTGCCGCACTGTTTTTTATTTTTTTTTTCTCCACCGGCAGGCTCTTACGAGATAATATTCGATGACGGCTTCCAGTGGAAGTGCACCACGGGGAGGCTTTATAAGCTAAAGCGGAGCACCGAGACGGGCGAAGACCCGTCGGCATTGGATACTTCCTCCTCGTCCACCTCCGCCAACCCCTCGCCCATCCCGTACGGGGCCGGCCCAAGCAGCGCGCTCCCACCCCCCGCCTTCCACACCCACCTCTTTGACCCAGCCCGTGATTATCTAGGTACGAAGAGCGAGCGCCGCGAGAAGAAGCGCAAGCTGAACATAAAGGAGATCTTCAACATCGGCCAGAAGAAGCGGCGGAAGCAGAGTTCACCGAAGGACAAGGATGCGGCCGCCCCGAGGACCGTCAAGCAGAGGAAGCCAAGGAGGAAGATTAGGACGCAGTTCGGTCCAAGGGTCAAGGCTGAAATTAAAACCGAGATACCTGGTGATTTTCTTAGATGCTTGTTATTGGAGTTGATTTCTGGTCAAATATTGCAGAGCGATGATTGAGTTCGCACGAGCAGAGAAAACTTAAATATATCTGAATAATTTATTCGGCCTTTGGGTTATATTTGTACTTCGTTTTATTTATTATGCATAACCAAGAACTTGCTCAGATCTAAACGTAACTCAAGTTATTGACAATACATTTATTACTTATGTAAATTTATGTCTGCTTCATGTTAAGCTTGCTTTTATCATTTGTACAGATGCAGTGGCATCCATAATTGGTACAGTGGCCAAGGGGATTGATGATTTAAAAGAAGACACATTATCCGCAGATGAAACACCGATATTGCAAATGCACCAAAAACAACAGGAAACTATTGGTAATAGTTCCCAGAGCACAATCAAAGATGAACCGTTCTGTTTCTCTGGAACAAATGAATCAGAATTATCCGACACAAAAAACAGCACAGATCTCGTAAGTTCATTCAGTAAACATTTTCTTTTTCTAATTAAAAAACTGTTGAGAGAAAGTTACGTACAATGCAGATCCATTCTCTCTGTTTATATTTTACATGTGTGACTGATTTGTAATTTATGAAAACGATTGAAAACAGTTTCCAAATATGTAGGTGTTAGAAGAAGAAACAAAACTTGAGAACTTCGAATCAGTAGACGACCGGAAACACGAGGAGGTCATTGATAGAATTAAAGAGGCCATCACTAAACTAGAGGATGGCATAAGTAAGGCGGAGAGGGTGGATTCGCCAATTATAGAAATAGAAAAACAAAAGGAAGATGTAAAAGATGAGAAAGATACAATAGTAATAAAAGAGGAACCGGTAAACATCGAGGACGTCAAAGTGGAGAACGTTAAACCACCCGAAGAGCAGGAAAGGGCCGGGACTAACGAAGGGAAGATGAAGAGGACAATATCGAAAATGAAGAAGAGTAAGAAGTTGAGATTGTTGCAGGAGAAAAAGGTGAAGAAGCAGGTGGAGAAGGTAAAGAGCGAGCTGGAGGAGATGAAGCGGCAGGTAGAGGAGATGAAGAAGCAGATGCTGATGAAGACGGAGGTGCTGACCAGCCCGCAAAAGCCGGAGATGCCGGAGAGCTTCCTGCTGCCAGGCGAATGGTGCTGCAGATGGGTGAATGGCCAACCTGTAGGGACTGTCAGCGAGATTGAGAGCGAGGTGAAATGCGAAGGTGGCAGTAAGCCACTGCCTAGGCGCAGCGTCCAGGTTCGGAATATTTCCAATGGAACATAATAACCACTTTTTTACTAACGCAAAACAAAACCGACTTTAAATATCTCGCTCTGGATTCATTTAATCATTGGCTAGCTGTTGCCCGCGACTACGTCTGCGTAGAACAGGCTAAAGGCGTAACATTAAGACAGTAAGAGAGATTTATATAAAAATATGTATATAAGTTATAGCCTGTGCTATTCTGATGTATAAGCTATATTATTTTAAAGTTTCATTAAAATCCATTCAGTGGTATTGGCGTGAAAGTGTAACAAACATCCACCCATACATACAAACTTTCGCCTTTATAATATTATTAGTAAGGAAGTAAGGATTTTCAGGAGTTCTCCAAGTATCTCCGTAGCCCAAGATTCAATACCAATGAAATATTGTACCACATGGGAAGCACCGGTTTTCAAATAAAAAAAGAATCATCAAAACCGGTTCACCCATTCAAAAGTTCTGAGGTAACAAACATTAAAAAAGATACAGTCGAATTGAGAACCTCCTGTTTTTGAAGTCGGTTAAAAATCGACCCCTCTCGTTCGCGCCGCACCCAAAGCGCTTTCTGTCTCGCTCATACTATTTTTCTTAGATGCCTAATCTCGCAAACGACACTTAGCGTAATATTCGGCAACGTTACTAAAGATTTATTTATTCTTAATGCACATAAAGTACAAAGGCGGACTTAATGCCATAGGCATTATCTCCCAGTCAACCTTAGGGTAGTACAGTTAGGTACAGAGAAAAAAACTACAAGATTCTCCTACATGTCGCAGGCGGCCATCGTTGTCTCTGCCATTTTGTGTGTCTGCACTCTAAATGAAGTCAAAATTCGCGGCGTATTTATATATATATATCTTGTCACCGTTCCGAAGGTGGAAGATAAGCGCCTGCCTCAGGGCTGGACTAAGCACATGGTACGTCGGAGTCTGGGTAACTCGGCAGGAAAATGGGACGTCGTCTTAGTGAGGTGAGTGCGTTCTTTGACCTTATCTTTTTTTATACTATGCAAGTTTGGTTGTTTGTGTAAGGAAAATATTGAAAAGATAGCATTTGTAAAAAACTATGGGGCACATACGGTTTATCGTTTTCAATTTGACATACTCATTAAAATCGACACCAGTTTATGTAAAATTTACTACTCTACCAGGTTTAGTTTCTTAGGATGAAACTTATCCTTAGAATTAATTTTTTTTACTATTTTCTCAGTAGGAAAAGAGTAATTATATTATGGATACTATAATAATTACATTGCGAAATCCAACGTTTCGAATCGATACATTTTAAAAGTGTACCGCCAGCCCGGACAACCGCCGCTTCCACACGAAGACCGACATGCGGGCCTACTTGGAGGGCGAGGGGGGCGCCGAGCTGAGGCGCTACGAAGCAGCCCTCCTGGACTTCGGGGTCCACCTGAAGCTGGCGCGCCGCATGGGCTGGGTGGCCAGCGCCGGCCGCGAGGAGCCCGTCACCCCGCTGCCGGCCGGCCTCATGAGCACCAGCTCGCCCCTGGTCAAGCGCAGGAAGCTCGGCCTCAAACGGGCCACGGGGCCGAAGGGGAAGGGGAGGCGGCTGTGCGCCGACGGCAAGATACGCAGGGTGGTAGGTTTTTTTTTTTTTATGTGAAAAGTTGTCAAACGAGCAGACGGTTCACCTGATGTTAAGTGAATACCGCCGCCCATAGACATCTGCTACACCCGAGGGTTGCAGATGCGTTGACAACCTTTTGAAAATTGGGCTCCGGTCACCTCACTCACCAGACGAAACGCGAAAGTATTATACTTTCACTTTACGCCGGTCTTCTGTGAGGTCGTGGTACTTACCCGGACGGGCCTGCCCATTCGTGCAACAGCCGAGGCTGCTGCGTGGCCCTACCACCGTTAAAAGGTTAAGGTTTCGGGTTTCGATTGTTTTTTTTTTGACGTGAGATAAACCGGCCAAAAGTAATCCGGCGGACCACTTTTTACCACTCTTTGACGGTGTGAACATGTTTTGTTAATAAACAGTATGAATGTAATTGAATACTTCAAAAGTTCACTTGAAAGAGTCTGGAGCGATCACTTCATTTTCAGGGCGTGTTCAGCCTTTAACACAAACATTCTTTAACAATTTTTTAATATTAAAATTGTCCCATAAAAGATTTACTTATTCTAAGCTGTCTGCTTGTGGGTACGATCAATTTATGCTTGTTCCTAGTGTCTATTTCATGCACATTACTATGTCCTGAAATTATATTTTTATTTTTATGGACATACGTAACTTCAAGTATGTACTGAGAAGCAACACTGAAAATATATCTCTTTAAAGAAATTTATTAGTGATCCTTTGGGGCGCAGACTATAAACTGCTCAAATAGCTCTCTTTTGGAGGAACATTGTGTTTATGTCGGTCGCTTATGGTGACGTTATAATTTTGATATAGATGATTTGATTCATTCCTTTCAGCACCAACTGTCTGATCAGAAGCTACCTGGTACAAGTGACGACGGATTCCTTGAAGCACAGGATGGTGGAACAGCCTGCGATAGTCCCACCTTGGAAGATGGATGTGGTATGTTTAACAACACCAAAAAAGTAATTGTGGTAGGGCCAATGTTGCACGAATGGGCAGATTCTTCTGAGGAAGTTACCACGGCCTCACAGAATACCGACGTGAAGTATTATACTTCTGCGTTTCGTCTGGTGACTGTGGTAACCGGGGCCAATATAATAACAATCTTGATATTAATGTACCATTTAAATGTTTCGAAAGCTCTAGAACTTTCCGGATCGTTTTTATAGGGTTCCATACCCACTACTAAGACTCCGCTGTCTGTCTGTCTCTGCTTCTGTCACCAGGCTCTATCTCATGAATGGTATTAGTTAGATAGTTGAAATTTTCACAGATGATGTATTTCTGTTGCCGCTATAACAACAAATACTATGAAACGGAATAAAAAAAATTTAAGTGGGGTTGCCATACACCGGACATGATTTTTTGCCGTTTTTATAGATAAAGGTACGGAACCCTTCGTGCGCGACTTGGACTCGCACTTGGCCGGGTTTTATTTTTATTAAACTTACAGTTTACAATTAACATGAACAGTATCTCTGTTAAGTATATTATCTCGCATAAATATATTACATCAGAAATATGCCGCCCCATAAAATCTGCCCGCCCTAGGCTCTAGCCTACTTAGTCTGCTGGAAAATCCGCCACTGATTCTGCCACACAAATACTTTCTAAATCAGTGATATGTGTTTGGGACCTTCTAGAAGAAGGCCTATTCCTGTAAGTTTGCCATTTTCAGTGTTTGTAGGCGCATTGAAGGTCCAGATCGTGGACAACCTGCTAAGATGCCCGGCCGAGGGGTGCCTGAAGAACTTCAGGAACAACACCCTGCTGAAGATGCACATAAAGCACTACCACAGGGAGCTGAGGAAGATGCTCGGCGCCACCCCTAAGGTGCTGGACCTGGCCTACGCCAGGACTAGGCCGACGAAAGCCGACATGATTAGGAAAAGGGACACCCAGAGCAAAATCATCAAGGTGAACATTTTCTTCAATGTTCTTGTGGTTGTGATAGCTTCCCTGTTGGGGGCAATGAAAAAGTTGATTGTCTATAAATGTATTTATCTATACATATTAATAGGCAAAGACAAAGCTGTTTAGGAATTTTCCCCCCCCTCGGACTGTCAGTTGACTTTCTTTCTTTTTTTTAGTATCAATTGACACCCACTTTATTAAAAGTGGGTGTTAATTGTGGCAACACATCAGTAATCCTATGGGTGTTGTAATAGTCAGAGTTGTTGAGCGGTTGTTATCACTTAGCATGAGGAACAACCAGCTTGTTTGTCACCTAAAAAAAAAGAGTTCCATACATATACATATTACATTCTAATGTATCAATTCCAAGGTGAAAATACCGCGGCCGGCGAAGCGCAGCGACGAGTCCAAAGTCGACATGCGCGAGCTGGACTCCGAGCTGCGGGTGGACATCCCGCTGTCGCCGTCCAGGGAGCACGAGGCGCCTAGGGCCCTGGACTCGCCGAAACTAAGGGACGCGCTGGTCAAAAAACCAGTCAAAAGACCCAAGGTCCTGCTGCCAGTGAGGCGACCCGACCCAGACATCGAACAGACGAAACTATCAGACCTAGCGGACGAAGACCAGACGGACAGGGAGGACAGCCAGTCCACCGTCGAGATATTGGACTTCGAGACGGCAATATCCACCCACACGGTGACCAAGCCAGTCACCGATGGCAGGAAAGGCGAGAGGGCGAAGCGCCGCGCCTTCGCCCCGTTCGCCAAGCGGCCGCCGAGCGAGGACGAGGAGTGGCTGACGATGAACTCGGACGTGGAGACCAGGTCCTCGTTCCCCGGCTCGGGCACGCCCGACTCTAAGACGACGGACGTGAAGGCGTCTGCGAACGCAGCCGCTTCTTCGGAGTCAAACGAAGACCAGAAAGAACCGATGTACACATACACCGAGAGTGAGTTGCTGTATTCTCTCGACTTGGACATTTGCACGAACCATGTTGGCTTTGAAGGCTCAAACGCGGAACGACTGACCGATTTATTGTTTTTAAATTGTTCTTCTGATTTAAAACCATTTTTGAACATCCTAAATTGGTTGTTGGTTTCATATTGTACATTTATCTTCTTAATGTCAATGAGTTTCCAAAGTATTTAATTGCCCTATATAATTGATTTTACTAACATAATCTCAATGTAGGCCAACATCTAAATTGGGGACAATTTTGTTTGCTTGCCATATGTGCCGGTCCAAATTATTATAATAATATTTAATTTTCACTACAAATGACTCTGACCTCCTTTTTTAAGCTAAACTTAACCATGGCTACGACCATTTCCTCTTTATTGGACGCAGGACATGATAATTAGCTATTATACAATCCAATAGCACTGTCAAAGAGTTCTAATCTTCTTATTATTTGTAATGTATATTTGTTTGTAATAAATACGTGACCCAAACTTGAAGTTAAGTTAACCGGTAAATTGAAGTTGTGAGAAGAATAAATAGGTACGAAAAAAATACCACAGGTTCATCACAAAATGCAGTGGCATATAAAAATAAACTTATTCTGTTTGCTAATCAGTATGCAACTACCCCAATCGCGCCATAAGATGTATGAAAGTTAAACTAATGACGTCAGATATTTGTAAATCGAAACTAACGTGCCCCATATGGTTGTTTCAGCCGGTGAACGCATCAAGATAGTCCAGATGAAGCGAGAGGAGATAATAAACTGCCATTGCGGGTACCGCGAGGAGGACGGTCTGATGGTGCAGTGCGAACTGTGTTTATGCTGGCAGCACGCCCTCTGCCACAACATCCAGAAGGAGTCCGAGGTATTCGTTAGAGAGAAGAAGAGGGACTATATCGGAATGTTGCTCTATATGTGATAGGGCCATGCAGTAGTAACTGGTGTTGTGCCGCACGAAGGGGCTGGCTCATCTGAGGAATATTCATAAAAAAAAATCGCGAACACAAAGTACACACAGACAGGGCTACTTACTTATGGAGTACGCAAATTTTAGCCTCGTCCCTAGTGAATATTCAACGAGGCTTTTAACGCTGTAAATATCTAACGATTTGTCATAATTCATTTTTGGCGACGCGTTATCTTTATTAAGAAGAGAAAGCGTGATATTCGAAAAAGCAACTCGGCCGCAGGTGCCCGAGAAGTACACGTGCAGCATCTGCCTGAACCCGCGGCGCGGGCGGCGCTCGAGGCGGTTCGTGCACGACCAGGACCGCCTTTACGAGGGGCTGCTGCCGGGCGCCAGGCCCTGCGAGCCGCTAAGGCGCGCGCACGAGCTCGCCGGCAACCTGCTGCGCGTGCAGGACGCGCTGCACGCGCTGCGCGTCAAGTGCCACGTCGCCGCGTGAGTGCCCTAACACCACAGCGCCATCTATCATCAGCCCCCTCACCTACCGAGTGCCGCGTCGCCGCGTGTGCCCTAATACCACAGCGCCATCTATCATCAGCCCCCTCACCTACCGAGTGCCGCGTCGCCGCGTGTGCCCTAACACCACAGCGCCATCTATCATCAGCCCCCTCACTTACCGAGTGCCGCGTCGCCACTTGAGTGTCCTGCCACCTCGGCGCCGTCTGCCCCTTTTTTTTTTCGTGGGAAAAATCCTTTATGGATCCCCTGCCACTGAATCGGGGGAGTGGCAGGGGTATGTGGGAGTCCCGATGAGAAACGGGTACCCACTAAAAAACCCACGTTGCACCTGTCTCTATCGCATCGGCTGGGGACACGGGAACCACGTGAACACAATCTTCCGCGACCCCGGCGCGACTATGGCTTGTTTAGGCCTCCTCTACTACATAGTGCTGTGCCGGTGCAATTGGCTCAGCACACGTCACGAGCCCCATATTGAGCGACAGACACCCCCATGTCTGCGGCTCAGGGTCTCACTATCAGGGGGGAAGGTTGCGCGCGTAGGCCAGCCTCCTGCACCCTGGTCTCCGGCGGCGGATTTCCAGGGTGGCAGTTGCCTCCCTTTCTCTCTCCGCGGCCTCCTTCCGGGTGATAACGCCATTCCACGCAATCTTAGGGCGGTATTTTCAATCAACCCCCTCCTTTATCAAGTGGTACTTCGCCACCGGCTTTCACCGATCCTTGTGGGCAACACAAACTAATCGATTACGCTATCCTGTGTATTTGTCAAAAGAGCACGTGAGTATGAGCGTAGTTTTCTCCTCAAGTTAGTGCATTCCTTATTGCAAATACTTACAATTTTTCACAAGTGCATGTGTCATTACAGGAAGAAGGACCACCCGAAGCTGTACCTCTGGGCGAAGGACTGGGAGAGCACGGAACTGAGCATCGCCCAGGAAAAGCTAAACTCGGACTATTCGGACCTCAGCATCATAATCAACAACATCGGCAAGGAGAATCTGCCGCTGAAGGCGGATGAAGTCCGGGACCTGGCCGAGGAGCACGAGGAAAGATTGCCCCTCGGTCCCCAGACCCTCCTCAGCGGGCTGCTCTCCAGTCCGGGCGGTGGCCCACTGGAGCTGCCCATCAGCACATCAGAGCTGGAGAGACTGGCCAAGTCTGTCCAAGGTAAGCGGTTATTTCTTCTTTAGGCGCAGAGAGTGAAATTTTAAGATGCGTGCGCATTACTGTAATACAAAAGTCACACCTTTGAAGCTGCCCGCTAAACCGCTTATTTTTTTATAGATGGCAGCATATTCCAAGCACATTCGCCCGTTACAGTTCTCAATAAAGAATGTAGATGGCGCTTTCATAATTTTATTACTTTTTGTTATTTATATCCTTTGGCAGTCTTTTTATTATTTTATTTTAATTAATTATTTGCATGCAATTAAAAACTATTTTTTAGTGATGCCAAAGAAGTGTAACTTCTCACGCGCGTACATAAGTACACGCACCCATTTTTTATGTGAGAAACTTTTGAGACGTTCCCCTTTCGCAGAGCAACCCGCTTCGGCGCCGGCGCCCCAGCCCGAGGCGGCGATAGAGAACGGCGCCTGTCGCGAGCGGCTGCTGCGTCACATCCAGCGGTGTCAGGCGCTGGTCGACGCGCGGCTGGACTCCATCGAGGCACAAGTCGCAGGTGAGTGGCCACCATCCGCCTCCACCACACATACATGATAAACGCATTACCCACCTTTGCTTCGCAGTTGGGCAGAAATAGTCACTAAAACATACGAGCCGTGCATACATGGCTCTATAAGTCGCGCGGCTGGACTCCATTGAGGCGCAGGTCGCTGGTGAACGGTGACCATACGCCTCCACATACGAGCCGTGAACAAACAGATACATAGATCGATAAACGCATAATCCTCCTTTGCGTCGCCGTCGGGTAAAATTCGGTGTTTAAAATATACGAGCCGTTCAATGCACCAATCGATTAACTCCAATTTTTTCTATAAGGAATAACGAAAAATTTTCTATTCAACGGGCATAACGGCAGCCGGGGTTTTTGGTTGTTTAATTCTAAGTAGGTACTTTATACGAAGCGGTTCACCAAGTAGTAAGCAGATGCTCTGTGGTACTTTATGAGGCCGCGGTATTTCTTAGGTCATTCCAGCCGTAGATGCCCTTGTCCGTACCACAAAAATGTTTCTACCTCCATATATCTACACACGCTTGTCCCCCCTTCGATAATAAAAAATTGCACCCGAGATTTAAGTTATTATGTGAAGAAATTTAAGTTATTATATAACTTCTTTTGGGCAGAACTGGAATCGCAAGATCCCTCGTTCGAAGACGACGAAACGGCAGACTATTTCCCGCGCACGAAGCAAACGATCCAGATGCTGATGCGGGACTTGGATACTATGGAAGAGTTGGGGGTCATCACATGAACAAGTTGCCTGAATGTGTATTTTATTAGAGAAGTCTTTATTTATGTTAGCCAAGAATAATAGCTTACCTTATTTACATTAAACAAGTTTAATTTTACATGTAGGCATTGCTGTGAGTAGTTTGTTTATTTTAATGCTTATTGTTATGTTTTTATTCCTAAAAACGTCTTTAAGCTTTTATGATTTTAAAAGATATGTTTTACGTACTAAGCGCGGTAAACAAATACTATTTTTTAATACTGACTTCTAATACTTTTATGTGTTTTATATAATTAATATTAATTTATAATAAAAATAATTACAACTGTAGGAACTAGTTTACTACAAAGAAAATTAGAAAATTATAATGAAACCAGTAGAATGAACTATTACACTATGTATGAATATATTATAAAACAAAAAGAAATAAAACTCCTTGTTCCCTTTTCTGGACATTTCAATTAACAAATTCTATTAAAATATTGAAAGATGGTTCTCATTTGTTTGAAGTAATAAATGTGAAATTTAAGGAAAAATGCAAGTTCTGATTAAGATTTATGGAGTTTATTTTGCATTATGTACGTCATTGTCTTTTTATTTCCTATACAAATGCAATAATTTGCCAGTTCCAAGGCAAAAAAAAATTCAGCGGAATTACCAGGGTTATTGTATTTTTGCAACTAAATTAAAAACGCATCATTGTCACATTTCAAGTAAAGTTTATTTTAAATAGGTATTACGAAGTTTTATTAATTTTTTTAGATGAAAAGGAAAATACTTACTAATAAGTCATAAAAGAAAATGATCTTTAATAAACTATGGAAGTGATGTTATAAAGCACCCATTAAAAATATGTTGAATAGGTATTCAGAGCTTTATTAGTTTATAGTATTTAGCTTACTATTATGTAGCAATTGAAAGAATAAATGCCTTTATTATTATCTTGATTCATTTTACACCCTTATATACTGCATTTTCTTTTCCTACATTACATTTAGTAAAAATAAATGCTTTCAATAACAATAAGACAAAAGTGCATTACAAAAATTTTATTAACATAAAGTACTATTTGAAAATAATTGATTAGCCTTCATAGAATTTAGGCAATTGATCCCCGAGGATCACAGAACGCTCAACACCCGCTTCTGTGATAACACCCAAGCGAACAACACCACCGGAAGATCCATCACGCAACATGGCTAGTGTAAGTGTGTTTGTAACAAACTTCACAGCTTCATCCTTGGTCATGTTCGGCTTGAAGTTTGCATCAACATAACCATATACATAAGAAGATCCAGATCCACCAATAGACACAGCCTGACGTTGCACCATGCCACCAATGGGTACAGAGTATATTTGACCTGGTATGAACAATTGATTATCAAAAATAATGTTACATTAAATATTATAATACATTCATAATAACATTACTACAATGTGAAATCACACCATCTGAGTGTGCCACTGTAATAAGGAAAGACAAATTTTTACAACAAAATTTACTTTGAATGTGAAGTGATCTAATTTCAACAAGTGAAATACTGGAAAACAAAGTCTTGTTTAAAAAAGGATCCTAAAGAAGGTTAAAAAGTTGCAAACTTGTGCAATAAAAGGGTTTGTTATAGTTATGTGCTTTGAGTATAGTATTAGTATTAACTGTAACTGTGTGTAGAAGGAATAAAGTATCATTGGAACATTTGTTAAGCAATGATTTTTTAAAATAAATACTAAATAAAAAAATCTAAAATTACCTCCTTTTTTCTTATCCCATCCTGCAACCAAAATTCCAGCAACTAAAGAATCACGGTAATTATAACAGAGTTCACGAAAAATTGCAGCAGCTGTTTGTACTAGCGGAGGTTCACCCAATTCCATTTTATGGAAATCTGAAAGAATATGTACATATAATTAAGTTGTTTCGTTGCACCAAAGTATAAACTCATGCAGCAATATTCTGTATGACATTGATTTGTATTTTGTATTGAGGTTACAAAAATATGAATGTATACAACAACTTTTCAGTAGTTATAACGGATGAGCCACCTTTTCTTAATAATATGTAAAATAAATCATGAAAATATATAACCTGGACTGGATTCTACCTGAACTGAAAAAAGTTAGTGGATTTCACTCAAGTACTTATTAAAATGGTCAAAGATGAGAGCTTCTTGCAAACCACTTAAATGACTCAATCACTTGAGGTAAATTATAAAATGAATGATTCACATAATAAGATGTTCAACATACTGAGGTGGTAGGTTACAATATCAGCAATTGCTTGAGTGTCTGCAGCCGAGCCGGAGCGGCAGCAGTATATGTGGTCGGTGATCCTAGTCAGCTTGTCTGTTACTCTGTTAGCAATGTATGCGCCGGTAGTAGTGCGAGAATCAGCGCCTATAACAACGCCGCCGTCGAACTCGCAAGCCATAATTGATGTGCCCGTACTGTGTGGGGTATTCATCCATTCAAGAGTAGGGTCAGAGTATGTGTTGATTACGGAAGCAGCCATTTCACTGAAATTTAATATTGGGCTAATCTTACGAACAATAACATAGTACCATACATGTTTAAATAACAAGTACTTATTACAAAGGTAATGTTAACTTAATAAACCACACCAAGGGACTTATTACATTTAAAAGAATAAGACTTACAATAGAAAGTGTTTTAATTTATATATTTAAATAGTTTATAAACTTGCAAATCACGATTTGGTTTCGGTAAATAAAATGAATGCTCAATGCTGTCAAACTGTCAAAATCTAAGTGGTAGGCAAAGAATACATTATTAATATAGTCATGTCTTCTTGTGAGACAGCGCCATCTCTTGATGCGGGAACGAACTACAAGTTCAGATGTTTATGACCTGTACTAGTTAACCATTTTGTTTTTACAGTTGAGTGCTGTATTTAACTACAGTTTTCTATATAGTGTATATGAAATTTATTTTATTTATATTTGATAACATTTTATAGAAAACTGTAATTGGATACAAGCTTGCTAGATGTTACTTTTGGATAAAGTAAATATAATACAGAAATATGTTTTGCGGATTCTTTCGTTTTTTATAATATTCACTCGCTATTTTTTTTTACAATCTTTTTTGAATGATTTTGAGTCTGGTGCCGTTTGGTAAATTATTTACGTTAAATTATTTTTGGCTATCCAAAATCAGTAAATTTCCTCCAATCCATTGAATCCATGTTTTAAATCAGTCATTATCATTTTCAGGTGAGAAAAAAAATGCAAAATTGCGTTGCAGTCTTTACCTGTAAATACAGTATGAATGTTTTGCCGAAACGTATAACAAAATAAAATGATGAATGAAAGATAACCGAATAAAATAAATGAATAATAACCGGCCGCAGTTCAGTGTTACCAACTGTTGAAAAAAAAACTCCTAAAGTATTTCAAAAACCTCATAAATTCCACTGTTTTCAAAAAAAAACTTCCTAAATGAAAAAAGTCACCCTTTTTTTAAATTATCTAACAAGCTAGAATAACTATCGGAAAATTTAATTATCTGGGTAATCAAAACTGTTTTATTTAAAAATTAACTTAATTAATATACTTGACCTTGAACATTCTTCATTGACTTGAACAATATTTATACAAATTAAATACATTTTATTGTGACGTTATAATAATTTTCATTATTTTTAAGAGTCAGACAATAAATAATGGGAATAAGTATCATTCAAAAAAGATCCGAATGATATCATGATGATATCATACCTATCTTTAAATTCATCATCTTTTTCCCACTTAGCAGCATATTTTGAACATATCCGATGGCTATTTCCTCACCATTTGGGATATATTACATAGTAAATGAATTAAATATATTATGAGTAGCCGTATATTCACAATAAGAGTTTATGGCGGAACAGTTTAAAATACTACATAGACCAATGCTGCCAATACTCTTACATTATATTTTGTGTTTTTTTTTCAAATTAATAATTTTTGTTTAATAAAATACAATTTTCTCCAAAATAAGAATCATACATACAATTTTTTTATTTATTTTAACTTAAAATAAAATTTTGTTTTTAATTTAATGGTACCAAGGTTAAAATGGTTTTGCATTTAAAAAAACGCCACCTGTCTTCGAAGGACGGAACTAAACGGAATGAACTAGCTCCATAGAAATATCAAATTTATGGACTGAAAAGACCGTGGTGGTAGGTGAAGTTTATAGTCAAAGGTATTTTATTCATACGGTATATGTGTGTACATATTAATTGATTACTTGATTCAGTATTATATTATTGTATTTATCTACGGGTTGTCTCGTAAAATATCGATACTTTATTCTTAATATTATTAAAGCCTTATATTTCTACCTAGACCTATATTATTAGAATTTAATATGTTTACACAAAATATAAAGTGTTAAATAAATTTAAATCAATGAAAAATATGATCACGAATAAATAAGAGCGTTTCAATGCAGATAAAGAAAAAAATTACTCGACTGTTTGAAAAAAAAAGATCTTGCTGTGGGTACAACGTGAGAGTTTGACATGACTAGAAAATTTTTACGAGTCTCTGTGGCGGCTAGTTTATAGTATTGATTAAAAACGGAAAATAATTCGGTGAAAGAAACGTTTTTTATAATCATCATATCAATTTTTCTATCTATTGATATCCAATTTCCAATTATTGTTCTATCTAATCCAGTGTTAACCATTGTTATACAAATCCTGGTTTTGAATTTAAAAAGAAACAATTTACTTGATTTGTTTTTTTTTATCGTCTCCCGTAAGACGACTCGAGGAACGTCATAATCCGTGCGCATTAAAGTACAATATTGCCATTGTAGCATCAAACATTACGGAACTGTTAGAATGTCTAAACCTCTTGAATTCAAATCACGTGTGTTGTTATCACTTAACACGTGGCGGTTTTTTGGTGGAAAACAAAAACAAAATTGTAATGGACTAAATTTGTACTATAAGGTGCATGTGGTAAATAGCTTAGGGTAGCAGAGGCATTCATTGCCATTGCGGTATTTTAGCATGTGCTTGCTCGTCAAAAAAGCATGTCGGAGCCCAGTTCATAGGTAAATAAACTTTCTAATACCAGTAACAAGTAACTGGAAGACTATAGGATCAAAGATTCGTCGGTTTTAAGGATAGGTATAACATATTTACGTAGCACCTACGAATTTCATAAACATGGACGGATGCCTGTTACCTAAACGTTTCGATGAGGGATATATTTCGATACTTCGTTATTACCAACTACTTGCTTTTCCCTTTAATTGACTATGGTGACGTGTGTTACTTTGACATGAATGCAGATCATCTCAATTAATCGACCGACTTCTAAATAACTGCATTCGATTCGTTTTCAATTTACGCAAGTGTGACCTCTTACCATATATGTATACCAAATATTTATCCTCTTACCATGCTCGCCTTCAGTGGCTACTTATACGTCAACGACGTTCTCTAAGAGCACTGACTACCCTTTACCTACTCTTTCCTGAACTCTTCTCTTCAGACTTAACTATAATTCTCAATATCTATGTGCTGTCAGCAACAAAATATATACTTGGTAGTATTTATTATATTTATATTATAACATATACATACATTTATTTTAATTATAATAGATATTTGTAAATACTCGCCTTTTCTTTGTTTTTGCTATCTTTCTGTGCACCTACCTAATCTTCTCTGTTCCACCCAAGGTTGACTGGGAGATAATGCCTTTGGCATTAAATTCGCCTTTGTACTAACTGTGCATAAAGAATTCAAAAAAATACTACCACCTGTGGTAACTGGATCTGTTTATTATTAATATTTTTCAATTTTTAAAAAACATTGCTCTTAACATAACATTATACTGTGTTGTAAGGACGTTGTAGAAACATATTGACAAACACCTTTTTCCCGTGGGAAAAATCCTTTTATGGATACCCTACCATTGGAACACGTAGACGCAATCTTGTAGTTTCTGGTCTTTTTGAGCCTCCTCTTCTAAATGATGCTGTGCCGGTGCAATAGACACAGCATCCCTCACGAGCCCCATATTGAGCGACAGACACCCATGCCTGCCGCTCAGGGCCACAAACCTCTTGCGCCCTGGTCTCTGGCAGCGGATAGCCAGGGTTGCAATTACCTCCCTTAACTATCTGTGGGTATAGTTGTCCCGTGTGGGAATCGAACCCACGATCCCCGACGCCCAAGCCTTGGTAACTGCGCCACAGAGTCATCCTTTATTATAATTATGTAAGTTACTCTGGCCTATTATATTGGCTCTATCCATTTCTTTTTAATTATCTGTATTAATAGATGACAGTCGCTAACAAAAGAAAAAACTCATTGGAACTTACAAATTTTACTTTATTACTTTATAGGAATTATATAAAAGGCACACTCAGTAGTCTTAGAAAGTCAGAGATTCAAATAAGTTTATATTGGCATAACCTTTACAATTGTTGTTATTTGTAAATACAGAGGAAAATTAAAAGTATTAATTCATTTTAATAAACTCGAAATAGCTTTCGAAACCGCAGTCCAAAGTAAATAGATCCCCAATCTCCAACCGTGTATTTTATTTTTCTTTTAGAGTTAAATTTGCATAAATATAAGTGTATTCATAGCTTCGTTATTTATTTACTTACTAAGCCAAAACTTACTTTTAGCTCAAGTAAAACTAATATTTATGGGCACAGATTATATTTCTGCAAACATTGTTGAAAATAAATCAAAATGCTGCATCACGTAGCGTGGGTGTCCGCCACTCATTAGAACTCCTTGTCCCATTTAATACTTCCCTATTTTCAAAAAAAGTTCAAATTTGTTACGCGCCATTTTGAACGTCATCCCAAAAACGATGTTTATTTAAAGGTTGTAAAGGAGCATTCTGTATCAATGGGCCGCAGTTTTTGATAAATCACCTTTTTATTCGACATTTTTATTCAAAAGGAATATCGAATTTATATTTATTCATGAACTTTGCGATTCGCCACCGCTTTTCAATATGACGAAACGGTATTGCACGAACCGCTTCTTTAAAAATCCTTAGGCCGGAACGCAACTTAGAAGTCTTGGTACTTATAACGTCATTCTTATTAAACATTTCCTTCTCTGCTTAATCTGCTTTTTGGCAAGATAATAAAAAAGAATGAGAAAAGAAAAAGATGCTTTTTAATGCACAATAAATTCAAATTTCGTCTGAAAGGTGTTGCCATTTTAAATATTATCGCGTTAAAGTACTTTACGGTAATAAAACAATACAATTCAATCACCATCCACATCGTAACAGTCGTGCGACAGTCATCTAGAGATAGGATCTTCTAAGTAACCAAAATCGTATGTACGTCTTTAGGTATCAATTTGAAATAACGCTTAGTTCTTATTAATCGTCTACCACAACTTTGATGAAGATTATTGATCGTGTGATCCTCATTACTTTCGGTGTCACGTAACGCCCGCTAAATTGAAACATCGAAAGTGATGGGTTTCTTAAGAATTTATTATTAAATAATAAAAGAAATAGTATATAATACAGTGTATAAATAGAAGACAAATATGGTATGATGTTTTCTGTTACGGAAAACGTTGCCTACAAGGCGCACTATGAGATGTTTCACATCAAAAATTTGTTTTATCCGAGGGGAATATTTACAGTGCGAGTATCAAGATGCTGTGTGCAGTAGGCGCGTCACCTCTGCAGTAAGTAGGCGTATTGTTGAGCTCGCGCGGCCCGGAGCCGGAGCGATGGAAGTGGCTGTCAATCGCACTTGAATAATGACGCGTGCGGTGGCATCGCTTTGTCGTCTATTTATTTTATTCGGCGCCCGAACTCCCCCGCGGCCAGACAATGGCCAGATGTTGGTTTTTTTCCCGCCGTATTACAAAGTATTTTGCGTCGCCGTCCACCTTTGTCAGGGCAGCGGGTTTCCGTTGGAAGCTGGTCGCCCCGAGTGACCCCGTGACGACATTTGGCGGCATCTGCCCGTAGCGTCTTGATAGATTTCTCTATATACGTTTGGAACGTGCGCGCACATTGGACCGTGTCGTTTTATTCAAAGAGAAGAATTCGTTTTTCGATTTTTAGTCTATTCGGCGGAAATTCACAATTTCGCGGACTAAAATGTCATGTTGATGGTCGGTCATTGGGAATCGGTTATGATGTAATCGTGTTTCATAAAGTGTGATAAGTTTTTAAAAGTTGCATTCAAGCCTTTTTATTTCAATACCAAAAGAGTAAAACGGGACTCCATTACTAAAACTGTGCTGTCTGTCTCTCCGTCCGTCTGTCACCAGAATGTATCTCATGCACCGTTATAGTCAGACTGTTGAAATTTTCACAGATTATGTATTTCTGTTACCGCTATAACAACAGTAAAATACAAATACATAAAAAAATATTTAAGTGGGGCTCCCATACAACAGACATTATTTTTATTTGCTGTTTTTATAGATAATGGTACGGAACACTTCGTGTGCGAGTCCGGCTCGCACTTGGCTGGTTTTTTATTTATTAAGGTTACGATTTAAAGTCAACCGGCCAGCCTACCCCTCTTTGGGGATGAGGTATGGTCATCAAAATAAAATCATATCTTTTGTTCTGCAAAGAAAATCATATGAGTTATAGCTTACATGACTTTCTGTGATATGTAATTGTCCTTTAATTGGCTTCTGTTTAATTATGATAGACAATTCACTTTCCTTTCCTTTTTAGGTATATACTAGAGAAATAAATATTTCCTGTTAATGGTTTAAATTTAAAGTATCATATTTTACCTATTTTTAAAATCCGATCACAATTCTTATCATTGTTTGTTGCATAATAATTATTCGAGGAAAATATAATTTTATCTCACGAGTTCCCTGAACTCAATAATTGTTTGTCTATTTGTTTAACTGTTTTGATAAACTAATATTAGAGCGCGTTTACTAGATATGTAAGGTTAATAATACATTAACAGTAATCATAAGCGTATTGCATTCTGGAATATATAAAAGATAAAATCTGTGACGAAAAGTTGTTTCAGTTTGAATCTAGAATATTTTTATTTAGTAAGAATACTAGTAACCAGAATAATAGTACAGTCTAATAATTGTTACACACTGGGAAAGAGCGCAGTGATAGCTCAGTGTCCGGGAGCTCGCTTTGAACTCAACATATTTGAGCAATCTGAGTCCGCGGTAGAGTCACATGACTCTACCATTTTACTTTTATGCATTTTGCACAATGTTCGTCATAAAGATACTGGGGATAGCGAATATATCCACGTGGCTGGGTTATTTTGCCAGTTGGAGTTGCGTTCTTATGAGATATCCCTTAATCCCCTCATCAGTACTGCCCATCATTAGTCAGTTTTTGCCGCCAGGAATCGGACAACCTGTTAGCCTGTTAACCTGTTAGCCTTTCCTAAGGCGGAGAGGTATCCAAAGCAGGAATAGGGAAAAAAGGTTGGGTTGACTCTAATATGGCGTTATTCATGAGAGGATTTTGATTTTTCACCTCTCAGGCGCGTCCCTTCATTTCTAGCTATTTCGACGATTGACCATTATCAGATTTCAAGACATCATTATCTCTCTTAAATTCAAGGAGAGCGAAAATTGCTAATTAAAGACAAGGGAAGATGTCAATTGAAAGGAAAGGAATAGATTTTTCTAGTGAGACTAGAAATATAAGAAACCTCGACATGTTGCGGAACATGTATGGGATTTATTTCTTCTACTAAACAATATTTCATCACCGCTCTCCTATAGCGGTGAAGAAAGTGCCGCCAGAGCAAGTTTTTTTATTAGTATATAATTCTCGAATTTTTCGCATGTGTAACTCTTACAAAAGCTTTGAAACGAAAGATATTGGGACCTTGGTTTGTAATCTTAAAAAAGGTAGCGTTTTGAAACAGTTGGGGATGTTTTTAATTTGCCTTCAGTTTTTTAAACAGTCAATTTAAAAATGAAAATGGCACTCTAACGAAGATCAAAATTTCTTCATCAATTGTATTTCAGTTTTGTTCTCTAGAAATAATCAAAAACAAAGTAAACTAAAACTGTACGGGAAACATCAAATAAATTTGTAAAAGATCCTGTCACTATATATCGAGGTCGCAATTCCACACGCATGATAAATTGATCCCATTTAGAGAAAGTTCTGAAAAAAATCAGTTTAAAGATCTTTTAATCATTACATGTACTAAAGGTTTGGAATTTATATGAAATATCAGAAGAAGAAAATTCTAACTTAGCCAGGGTCTGCATAAGCAGTTTTAACTATAGTTTGTGTTACACTTGGCAACTCATATTTAAAAAGTGGCGATATTTGTAAAAAATATCGTATGTACAATTGAGTCCAACTTAGAGGATTTCCTTAATTTAAAATAATGTGCTTTCGTATAAATATTAAGTTATAATGATGTTTAAATTCCAACCTGTTTGCAATATCTTTAAACAACGAAACAAACACATATCAATCAAAAGTATTTCTTGCATTCAACGGATGTGTAAAAGGTTTCATTTTCAAGGAACATTTCATTACTCTGAAATTGTGGAAGTCTTTATTACACTTGAAATCTTGGATTTAAGCCAGTGGTTTGTTATTATTGTATTTTATACGAATATTTGTTGACTTGTTATATGTCCATATATACTATTGAGATCCGCGAGAGATTGAGACAGTTTTTTCTACACACTTAAGTGTAGAGACTGGCTCTAAAAATTAACAATGAAATTCTAACAGCAAAGGCAACATCTCTCACATCTACACATAACCAATTTAAATGTAAAATTAAAAATCAACTGATGATTAAAGCATATTATACCATTTCGGAATATCTCGACGACGCCAATGTGTGGAGTTAATACTGTTGATACTCACGTAGGCTAGAATAAGACTATTATACCTGTAAATTATATTGTACCCTGATATTTTTGAAAAAGAGCAACTGTTGAGTTTCTTGCCGGTCTCTTCTCAACAGAAACCGCTTTCCGAACCGGTGGTACCTTACGAACCTATACACATAATATTTGATGTAAAATTTGACGATTCATAAGAGTCTATTTGAATAAATATATTTTTGATTGATTTTGATTAACACCCTTACGTCCCACTATTCAGTGAAGGGTTCGTCTGTACACAATTATAAAAATTTTTGTTACTATTATCTCAAAACAGGCAGGTTTTACCGATGACCACGTGTTAAATTAAAACTTACAATTAATAATTTTATGGATCTCGGCACCAAATTTGAACTCAGATCGAGTACACTGAATTAAAGGCGAGCTTCCGGACACTGAGATTTCACACTTATTTTTCTTAATCAAAATAAGATAAAATAATAGAAACAAGACCACAGTTCGATAGAAATCGAAGCAATGTTAATTTTCTTTGTTTATTTTCCCATTATTGCTATATTCTTAATAATCTTCATTTGTCATAGAAATCTCTCATTATGTTTATTTTAAATCATGGTACGACAAGTGATATCTGTACGAACATAATGAGTGATAATTTCTCATACGCGTGTTAATTTTGCGTCTGCGAATTAATTAATCTCTCGACGTCTGCAGTGACCCTTATACGTCCATTCAGCGTTCGGAACTAAAGCCGACATTTTTTCATCTTCCCCGTGCCTACAAAGGCACTTCCCATTATATAAATTTGATACGATATTTTATAGAGGAGCGTTGTATTGTAGACACGCGCCGGAGCGTCGATTTTTGTAATCTTTTTTACGTTGCTGCGGGTCCCCCCGCGTTGGCAGGGGGTAGGGCGGTGGCAGGGGACCGCAGGGGGGGCCGCCCCTAAAAAGTTATGTATTTTTTCTCCTCTTTTTTCCCATCGACTTGATGAAACGGCGAGCGCTATTGATCGGGCGTGCGTCGGGAGATCGCTTATGTGTCAGCGAATCCCGCTTGAAGATTGTTTGATTATTTATGCGTAAATGTGAATCTGTGGTCTATGGTCATCGTTTCAAACCTAAAGTTGTTTTGATAATGACACAATTTATTTCAAAACACATCAATTACCATAAATTAAATAAATATTGTCCAATTTTTAGTTATTAAGATGTTTTTAAAGTTATAAATTTGCATTTCTCATATACGTTGCACTTTGTTTTTTCTAAAGAAAGTATATTTTGCTTTCAAAGCTTTTGATTTTATTATCTTTAAAATGTTTGTTTGTTGTTTCAAATTTAAATGACTTATTTTTCTGAATAAACATTTAGTAAAGTATAGCTTAAGTAAGTGTAAAATATACGTAAGTATCGAGGAAACCTACATGAACTTGAAAACAAAACTATTCAAATATCATAAACGTTTGCCTACAATGAATTCAACTTACGACTATGGTTAATTGGGATTAAGGATAATAACTTTATTTCAATGTATCCAATACTCTTCATCTATGTTAGACGATAAAATTTAAGTTTAATATATATCTCGGCCATCTTTAGACACTGCAGGGTAAATAAACAGCAACGCGTGAAATTTTCGAGCAGTTTTTTCTGAGCAGGTGTGCCGCGGTGGTCCATCCTTTTGCGCATTATGTTCGTAGGACAAGCTGCCACGTGGAGTGGGCACCAAAACACGCTACCCTCATCTATATAGGGTGCTCCAATTTGAAATGAACAATTTTCAGTAAGGACATAACGTACGCAGCTAACACCCCTGATGAGTTACGGAAAGGCCACGGAATTACTTTGGAAGCTTTAATTAATGTACAACATTCGGTACTTTAGTTATAACGTACTACAGGTGTGATTTATAGAAAGTAAAATTTTCAATTTTCCATTTTAGTCAACGGAAATTATTAACGACATATGGTATCATGATTATTACGTCATTCATTAACAATCAAATCCACAATAGAATACAAGAATACTTAAGTCAAATATGGTGATAATAAAAGATATGCTTGAAACAGTTTAAATACGATTTAAATTCACCGTATGCCATTTTAATTCAAAATGAAAATTAACATAGAAAAATTA